TGCGGTGGGCTGTCAGCCTGAGGATCTAGAGGTGGAGTGAGGAGGAAGAGGGGAGAAGCACTGGTTAACCGGAGCACCCCGAGCGTTGTCTGCTGGCGCCTTGCTGATAGACGTCTGCCTCGGGAGATGGAAGCGCAAGCCCTGCGTGAAGGCTGTGCCTGTGCACATCGGTGGGAGGGGAGGCAGGGGCTGAGCTTAGGGGAGGGGAGCAGGAGGCTGGGGAAGGTCAGTCAGTCCCTCTTAGTGCCCTGCTGCCTGTGTCGTGTGGCATAGGAATGACCCGAGGGCCCGATACCCGATTCCTGCCCACAGCTGGTTTCTCCGCACGCTCTCAGATGAGCTGGACCTGTCGGTGCTTTCGCTAGTGCTGCGTGATGGATGAGAGCGTGCCCCTCTCGGTTGTTGCCTGAGCTGCTCAGGTGCCCATCAGTGTGGTGTGGTGTGGTGAATAGCGCTGCCATCCATCTCCGGTGGAGCGGGTGCTCTCCGCATGGCTGCGGGCACCCTGGAGATCGCTCCGTCCATGAGATGTAGCTTCCGATCCCTCGGGGGGCAATTGCACAGAGGCTGCATGCTGGCAGAGCTGACAGATGGGTGAAAGCGGAGCGAGCAGGGTGATGACGGGGAGCTGGGAATGCTAGCAGCCAGCTTATTAATGGCTCTGTATCCAGTTCAGTGAGTAACATAGGTCAGCTGCTGAGGAGGGAGATTGGGACGAAGAAATAGATGCCCTGGCGGGGCCCAAGAATCACAGTGTGAGAAAGATGTACAGCCAGTTTCCAAGCAGAGGGTTTGAAGTGTGAATCAAGAGCTTCTTCAGCAGTTTTGTAAGCAAAGATAACCTGCGGCACTGAGCTGGGCTTAGCTCAGGGGTGGTGGTGGGAAGGAGGCAAGAAGCAGCTGGGTCTTCTGCTCCCTCTGTATAGAATTTGTATTTGGCCGTTTAAAAGCCAGGTGACTCACACTGGAGGAGGGAGAGAGGGGAGAAGCACTCCTGCACCAAAGTGAACTCAACGTGGGTAAAAGAAGTCTGGTTCCAGAGGCTGAGGCAGGTGATTTTCCCACAGGCCAAGCACCCAGAGGCTCTCAATGCTTCCTCCCAGGCGCCCTTGGACCTGGCCAGCCATCTGCAGGGGGAATTTGCAGCAATGTCTGTTCCTAGACCTTTTTGTTGTGACTAACAGAGGGAATAAAGCTGCTTTTTTTAACAAGGATGCCCTGCACCAGAGAGTCTACCCCTGTTTGCAGTTACATATAACCATGGAGGGGTGGAGGTGGGCATACGCAGGCACTGTTTCTCAGTGGAACCAGCCCTTCTCCAGTCTCAGCTTCGTGACTGACTCCTCCTTTCTCATGTCTGTTCAGTAGGCCCATTTCTTCTTACCGTGCTCTTCTGTCCATCTTCGTCTCCTAGCTTTCCTGTCTCTTGGAGCAGGGCAGACAGTTAGGTATCTTCCTGACAGATGCTTGGGTGCTGCGCCAGTGGTGCTCCATAAATACGAGGTAGCAGCAAATCCTGGGCTTTAGCAGTAAAACCCTGCTAGGGACTTCTGAGGTGATTTGCCTGACTCTCTGTGTCCTGGCCTTCTTGGACTCTAGCAGATGCCTCTGAGATGAAATGCATCCTTTTCTGGGCCTAGCGTGCAAGGGGACATGGCTTTTGGAGAAATATGGTAAATTTACCCTTTAGTGTGCTTATGACTGTCCTCCTGAGTGGTGGGATGGGGGTTCTTGGCCCTTGGCATACGCTTGTGCCCTGCACGTACGCTTCTGTGCTGCTCTTTATGTTTCCACTTACATAGTAAAAATACTTCGCAGGTAAAGCCAAAGCCAAAGCCAAGCAAGATGACAGCTCAGAAGCAAGCAGCAAGGACTATGACGAGGATGATGATGAAGAAGAAGGAAAGTATGAAATCGAGGAGGACGAGGAAGAATTGGAAGACGACAGTGACTCAGATGGTAAGGAGTGCAGCTGGGCAAAGGGAAGGGGATTATTGACAGCGCTGGTAACTGAAGGCTCCTTTGTGTTCTGGGAGCTCCCCAACGAAGGAACTGTCTCCTCTTTTCTTGCTGTGCTGCTGTTCTGAGCTGCGGGGTGTCAGGAGGGACCTTTACAGACACAGACAGACACACACACACACCCCCCCTTGAACAGGGAGACCTGGTAGTTTTGAGTTTATACTGAGGAGAGAGCGAAAGGGTTAAGCTCTTTGCAGGCCTTGCTCTAACAAGCCACCAGTCCCTTTCATCTGTTTTCAGGGGCCTCCTGCAGAGAGGCTCAAACAAACTCTTGAAGTACAGCCCACCCCAACAGGGTACAGAAACCTCGCTTCAAGACTCTCCGTAGGTTACACATGCGTGGGGGTGTGCAGGGTGCACTTCACTTTTCATCTGAGCGGTGCCTGCGGTGCGGGGTGCTGCACAGGGGTAACCCTTTAGCTGCCGCTTCTCAACAGCTCCTCCCAGGATAGGACTGGTAGGAGATCTCGTCCAAGTCCTGCATTTGTCTGGGGTTTCTGCACTGAAACAGTGGTAGCCAGAGCATGTACAGACCCTACTAGAACCCCTGGCTTCGCTCTGTGCTTGGGCCTGAGTGCCAGTTAGCTGCTGCCCAGAGGCAGAACCGGTAAGAGTGGTGGGTGTCAGTGTGAGAGGCTACCAGTTCAGTAGGCTCCTAGCAGGCCAGAAGAACATCTGGCTAAATGGCTACTGAGAAAGCTGCCAGCTGTGTCACCAGGGCTGTGCTAGCGCCAAGCCAGGCTGTGCTGTAGCTGAGGAGAGAGTTTTTTCCCTTTCCATCCCTTGCACAGAGCCACAGCCAGCTAGAGAGCCTGCTCAGCACCCCAGCAGAGCGCAGCTAGCCAGCTTCGGCTCAGCCTTGCCGCTCTCTGCCAAGCCACTCTGCGAACTTAGCAGACGGAAGCTGGGCCTGCCAGGGGCTCTGGCTGCTGCAGTCTTCCTTGGCTGGTTTTTGTGTGCCACTTGCTTAGGCCTTTGTATTAAGAGTGCCAAGCCTCTGCTCCTCAGCATGCCATTGGGTGTGATGTGTGGTTGTGGGGAACAGCCACAAAAGCTCCTGTGTGCAGGCTTTCTTTACTAGTTTGGGGAACAGGGCGAGCAGGAGCGGGGGAAAGAGGCCAAGTGAGAGCAAAATCTGACTGATTTAGCATGGCAGATGGCTGGGGCTTGGCATGCGCACCCAAACCTCGGCGCCGAGAATAGATGGGTATTTGATGCATGTTCTGACAATGCTGTAAAGGATAAAGACGGAGAGTTTTCCCTCTCTGCCTGCTGGGGTACTCAGGCAAGCTGAAGGGAAAGCACTCGTCCTTGGTGTCTGGGGGAGCAGGGACACTGATCCTCCCTTCCTTCACCCCTAGTGGCAGCTTCCTTGGTTTTGGGCTGTAGGAGCGCGGCATAGAGCCAGCAGAGTCTCTCAGTGCGGGGTAGTGGCAGTGACATCGGGCAGGCAGGCAGATCTGCCCCTCCCAAGTCTTAAGCTCTGTGTGCTGAGCATTCCTATTGTACTTGGTACCAAAACACACATCCAGGCAGCCTGGTCGGGCGATGGAACAGTGAGGAGCTCGTGTCCGTGACAGCTTCCCACCGCCCTGCACATGCTCTCAGTGCCCTGGAGGGGCTCTTTTGTCCTCCTGATGCTCTGGTGTCACCAGGGCGGTTTTGAAAGATGTGACCTGCAGTGAGCTTCCAGCTCCCGAGCTGGGCAGCCAGAGGTAGCTTCTCATCCTTTTTTGCCAAGTGGGCTGAAGCAGCAGAGCCTGCAACCGATCCAGGGAGTGCTGAGGAGGGGGAGAGGCAGCCACATCCCACAGCCGCTGCTGCCCTCCACAACCTGAGAGGCTGCAGGTGTGTAACCGGAGGTAGGAATTGGTGCTGAGCAGGTGCTTTGCTGGTACAGCCTAAGCCAGATGGTCTGCAGGGCCCCCTTTGGAAGCAAGGTGTAGGAAGCTCAAGCCACACTACTGGAACGAGAGGGAAGGGCAGTGGGAATGGGGACAGGTATAGTCCTGCACAGCCCCTAGAAACCAGTTCTCACTTGTGCTTCCCCGCTATTGAAATAGCATTTCAAAAAAGGAGGGAGCCTGGGGCTAGTTTTGCGTTTGGGAGGCTTGGCGATACCTGTGACAGCTCCTTTCTGACAGCTCTTAATGCCCAGCCTGACATCTCTAGCGAGGAAGACTGACCTGAGCTGCGGGCTGAAGGTTTGGAGGCACTGCATGTCTCGTTCCCCCTAGTTCTTATTTTGCGTTTCTGCCTCAGGCACAAGTTAGTTAGTTAGGTCTCCTCTCCCATCGCCCCAAGTGCTTCAGAGCCAGTGCTGTGCCGAGCACCCTGCAGCGCTCTCCTACCGCTATCTGGGAGCTGCAGTGGCGCCAATAAATTAATGAGTGTCTGGGATTAATTAGCAATGAGTTGCCTCGACTCGCCTTACTCTCACTCCCAGTAAAGCAGGATTTACACCCTTTCCATCAACAGATGAAGGCAAGGAACCTGCTCGGGTTTCCCAAGGGTCACAGAAGCAGAGGAGCTGCACTCGTGGGATGTCACGAGCTGACCTGGAACAGCTAGCCCAAGGGGAAGAGGACATTGTGGAGGACTTGACTTTTTCTGATGATGACTGAGAGCCCTCGCAGCCACCCCCTCCAAGCTTACTCCGTGCAGAGCTGCTGTGTACTGGATCGTGCAGCCTTCAGCACCTGTAGCTGGTGCTCCCAGAGATTGGTAGGGGCTGGGGAGCGTGGAGGGCGGGCGCCAGCCCCAGGTGCCACCAAGGACTTCCTCGGTGACACAGCAGAGACGCTACTTGGGACTTTCAAGCTTTTTCTACCAGTTCTGTTTTTTTGGTAACAGTAAAATTGTGGTCACGTCAAGGCCAGTAAAACTGCTCAGCATAGGTAATAAAAAGCCCTCATTAAAATCTGCTGCTTTAAATAGCATAGGGTTCAGTTTATGCTGGAGCATAAGTAAGTGAGTGGACCAAGGGAAGGACAAGTTCTTTTGTCTAAGAGTCCTCCTGTCTGTTCAGCCACCCTGTATTTTGCTCTGGGGCCCTCACCTAACCCTCCCTTTTGCCAAGAAATGGGTGAGGATTGCAGAGTGTTTCAGTGCTTTGTATTGTCACTGCAAATGGAAGCCTTTATCAGTAACATCAGAAGCAGCTCAGTGCAATCAAGCTGGCTGTAAGTAAGTACGCTGAAGAAGTTGCCTTTAAGTAAGTAAGTGCCTTAGGAGATGGGGCGGGGAGGTGGAGACGGGAGGTTGTGCAGGCAGGAAGGCGTAAGAAGAGGCAAAAACTAATGATGTAGGACATGCTTCCATTTTGGTGATGGCTGTGGGATTTGCATGCGATACATTTGCTTAGCAAAAACAAGGGAGACGTCCGAGCCCGTGCTTTGTAACAGCCCTACTGTTATCCACAGTGACACCAGTCCTAGCTGGTGGGGAACACCAGTTCGTTCTGTAGTGACGACTGCAGGCTGCCTTGGGCACCCGGCCTTTCTTCATTACCTCGGAACCAACCACTGCCTCACCTGGGCAGCTTCTAGGTGCAGCTCATGATGTGTCTGCCTGTAGGAGTGGTGCTTGTGGGAGGACATTGTGTAGCTCAGGGGGGGGTAAGGGCAAGTTGTGATCTGCTGGGGAAATACAAATGGCTTGAGCCCACTGTTAGTTTGCAGGACTGGCAGCTGGGAAACATATTTCTTTGCAAAACAAACTGGAAATGGAGGGTATTTGCTGAGAGAGAGGTAGGAAAAGTTAAGTATTCTTAGGGCGTATCTGACAGAATCACTCCTGAAAATTAACTGTGCCTTTCGGGAGCATTGTTATTTGTTAATGCAGATTTTTGGAAAAGAAGATAGAGGGCTAGGACTAAATATAAATACAATCTTTGTTCTTCTCCGCCACCAGGGTGAGGTCAGTAGCTACCTGTCAGCGCTGGGGTGGCCAAGCTACCTGCACAGGCGTGTTCATCTCTGCCTTCTGCGCTGCCTACATGTTCCCCTCCAGGCAGCCTTACTCCTGCACACCACAAGAGGACAAGATGCTTTTTTAAAAAGACATTTTAAAAGAACAACCCTCTTCCTTTTTTTTGTTTAAGTAAGTTCTATTTTCATGGCGTCAGAAGAACCGCAGCTCAGAAACATTGCCTTATTGCAGCTAAAACCCCATGTACTGTGGCCTGGCTAGTGGTCTCCCTCTCGCCCACATGTGTAAGTGATAACAACTCAGTGTATGTAAAGAGGTAATTATGCTCTTCCTGTCCCACACTGAGTGTTGCTCCTTCCCTGCTTCCAGACATCGTTACCGCACAGGTAATTGCTGCCGTAGTATGGTCTTGTGGGGTGTTTGCTTCATTCAGAGTTTGTTACGTCTTTTTTTTGGAGCTTAGCAGCAGGACTAGGGCTAGAGAGGGTTTCTTTTTTCCCAACTGTGGTTACTGTAATTACTGTACCTGCCCTTCCTAGCTATGCATCCAGATAGATACTCCTCATCCCATAAGGGGGAGGAAGTAACCTCAGAAATTAGTAATTAAGTTTTATTATTATCATCATTATTGTCATTATTATCATTTATAGCCCACTCTGAGGGGGCGAAAGCACCTGCTGCTTCATTAGGGGGTTCAGGAGTGCTCAAGACTGAGCTTCCCTACGGCTGGTAAAGCCCGTGTCTTCAGCAGATTATGTATGGGAGCCTGGACTATGACTGCAAAGATGAAAACTGTAAGGCTCTACCTGTAAGAAAAAGGTTTTAACTCATCTTTTCTTCCACAAGAGAAAGGAGTTGCTTGTTCTCCTTTCTCTAACTTAGCTGGGCAAGGTGCTGCCTGCCTTCAGCAGCTGTGGGCTAACCCTCAGATCAGCTTTTAGGCCAGGACTGCAGCAGCTCCCACGCACCCCGAGTTACCAACACCAGCGGTGAGGCTCATGGCCCCAGTGTACGCACAGCGAAGGAAAGGAGACTTCTTGGGTAAAGCAACCACTTGCAAGGAGCTCAGGAAACCAGGTACCATTTGTAAATTAAGTGTTTTTCTTTTTTATTTAAATTGATTGCTGGAAAGCATTTTTATCGTGATGTGATGGATAATGACTTTTTTTTTTTTTTTTTTTTTACAATATAAAGAAGCTAATGTACCACCAAGCTAGTTTGTAAGAAAAACGGTAGCACGTGCAACGTTTAAACAAAAAAAAAAAAGGGGAGGGGGAGAGAGAGAAAAGTACCACATGTGATTGTTGTTCACAACTGTACAAGTCACAGGAGGTCACCCCCAGGAGTTACCATCTCATTCACAGTAGTAAAAACTCTACCCATAGTTTTTAGCCTGAATCCCCCAGCATCCCTCCCCCTCCTCTGGGAACGCACAGGTATCTGTCTCATGGTCCACAGCAGGCCAGAATGTGCAACTACATCCACCTCTGTAACAAGGCTTTAAAATTAACAAAACCAACCCTACGAACAAAAAAAACCCCACCCCAAATGTGTAAATGAGTCTGTTGTACACGTGAAGGAAGGAGGGGGCCACGCTGGAGTGAGGCCTGTGACCCTTCATCCCACCAAAGCACATACTCTTTTCTTCTTCTCTTTAAAACAAAACATCTAATGGGGGTGGGGGGGGGACCAAACAAAAAAAAAACCTCTGCAGGGCTGGAGCACAGGCAGAGTCCATTCTCTGGGTGTGCTGAAAGGGACAACGTGCCAGGGAAGAGGGCAGCCCGCGGGACAGCACTGAGCCGCCTGTGCCGTACCATCCACACTGAAGTAAACATGGACCGGAACTTGCCTTTTTTTTTTTTTTTTTTTTTTTTTTTTTTATTTTTTTTTTTTTTTTTTGGTTTTTTTTTAAAAT